TGCCTACAACTCATTATTCAACTCAAAATAAAATTATGCTATGGAGACATATATTATAGATACATATTAAACTTCATGCCAGTTCGTCCACAGTCTCTCTTGATTTATTTATTTATTTATTTATTTAACTCGTCGAGTGCCGGTTTTATAGACACAATTAAAGAACAATAGGTCGCGGTCACCGGTGACCGCTTGGTGTTTGACAGATTAAGCTTTAATGTACACAGAAACAAGTAATGGTACATAAGGCGGACATTAATGCCATATGGCATTCTCTCCCAGTCAACCTTAGGGTTAAATTGAAAATCGGCGAAAAAATAGGCATGTGTAAATATAACATTATTTATTGGTAACTTTGTCAAGATTAATAAATAGAAAATGAACGTATGTGTTTTATGTTGAGACGGTACAAAACGTGACCATCCAAAAAAAGTTTCGTACACGTTTATCGAAACGTGGTCAAAAATAAATATATTCTATGACTAGTAGGTAGAGATGTGACTGCGAAAAAAAGTTGATAAAAATGCCCTTGTAGCCTTGAAATGTTCTATAGCTATATTTCTAGGAACGCACTAGTTCCGGTTAACGTATGATTCATTGTATATTAATTATCTACTTGAAATATAATTGCTATTATTTTCGTTCATGAATCATACCTTGTTTAGTACTACCTTGGTATGAAAGCGATATGGATAATTTTATTTGACTTTGCGTCTCCAGTGAAGAACCTGCGTACACTGCTAAATATACAGATGGTATTTACAAAATGCGGAACAGCCGTTGTTTCAAATTACCATGAATTTTCTTAATATGCCAGCAAATTGTAATTCCACGTGTTAGGGTGACAAAGTGTTTTTTATTAACTGATGAATTGCGAAATATAATATTTCAGGCATACTTACTATCCATAAGATTTGATAATGTTCAGGGATTAATATGTTGAGTAGGTAAGCCGTAAAAACTTACAAGAGAAAGCGAAGTCGTTCGTAGTATAGAGGCATACCTTTGTAGCTAAAACGTTAGTTTTTGTATTTATGTCAATTAATAAATCAAATGCCTCATTAGCCGAGTGGTCGCAAGTGCGACTGCCGGGCTAAGGGGTCTCGGGTTCGATTCCCGGGTCGGGCAAAGTATTACTGTCATTTTAAAAATATCAGTAATAGCACGGAGAAAATGTGCCAGGTATATGGCAATAGGCTCACCCCCTATTACGTGGGATTCGTAACATAAATAGTGAAAAGTGTGTGTTACATTGTACAGTGGCAGTAAGTGCTGTAATGTGCACCTCTGCTTACCCCTTCGGGGATAAAAGGCGTGATGTTATGTATGTAATAAATCAAATCTCAAATTTTAGTCCGAACGTTGGAAATGATTTGTCAACAAAACATATAAAATTATATTGAAATAACATAATTAACCATGTACTCGCCTCACGAATATTCATTTCAGAGAATTCAATTACAAAGGGGTTGTTATGTGAGCAACAAAATTGTTGAGACTCGTCTCGTCTAATAATAATCTTATTTCCAAGATACCTTCGGTTCTCATAAGGGAGTGAAGCGTCCTCGGAATGTCTAGCGGTCTGACCTTGATGTTGATTTATCGGGAGACGGGAATCGCACTGCGGCACTCCCGGTTCAGCCTTGAAACTGTTTGATGCTTTTCTTAGACCTTCCTTAAGCTTTAGTAAAATTATTATTTAAATTTCAATAAAACTTGGAACAAGTAGAGTATGGTATACCTTTAAAATGTAGAGAACATTGTGTAGGAGGTTTGGTAAGGGATGTTTATTGCGTGGGTACAACTGCAAAAGTGTAGGCGTTAGGTGGGCGTTACTCCGTGCCTGCTCCGCTTTAAAGCTCTTATAATTTATATCGGCTCCTCTGTTACATAATGGTGTTTTTGTGTAGACATTACAGATTCAGCGAACCTTTCGAGGTCAATAATTTCAAAAGCAATTGGAATCTACTCGAATAACTGATGTTTACGCTTGGAACTCATCAGAGGAAATTTCAGGTATAAATGAATGTCGTGATATGACATGAACTTTAATGTCATTCATAAATATCAATTTTAGCTAAGGTGATCGTGTTGGTCTAAGTTTAAAATTTATACAAGTGACTGAACTTTACCCGTCTCCAAAAGTGGCTCTTGCACCTGCGTCATTGTCTCTCATAAAATATTCAGACTTTATTCGACGGCTCGCTTGCCCTGCCTTCTACACGCGAAGCTGGTCTAAACATAGCCTGTAATAGCGGTACATCACATTTACATTTTAAACATATTCACTTCATCATCATTTCAAAATTTTCAGTCGTAAAGTCATCGCGCCCCAGGAGTAAATGTGATAAGTGTATGACAATTGTTTTGCCTCATTTTGTTACATATGTGTAAAGCTTAAGCCATAACAAGCTAATTAATGCTACAGGCTAAAGCAAGCTCGCTCGCTTAGGCTGTGCCTAGTTTCAGTCAATATTATTGAATCCTACATGAACGATGTTCGTGAGAAGTGCGGATGTGCGCATGTCTAACCTATATAAATTGCATTAACCCGAAATTCCTCATTGTTGCGGAAGTTGGTAAACTTAAGGATAAAATAATCGTTGGTTTAACCTTAACCTCAGTCGATGGCCTCAAATGTCCGTGTTGATGTTTCAAATTAATTTCAAGCAGTTACCATTTGAATGGGTCGTTTTTGCTTCTAAATCTTATTGGATTAATTGTGAACAGCTAAATTTGGTAAAGGGCCGTGTTAGCAGTAACTAAATACATATTTTAATCTATGACAGTAGCTAAATATAGCCTTATAACAAGCTTAAGGAAGAAATACCTTATGGGCTTAGGGACAGTATCATATTTCAAGTGACCCTGTTCAATACTTAACCTTAGTTATTTAACCTTCGATTCAACACGTGGCTGACATTTTCGAATAAACACAGGTACTTGCCTGCCATTAAATATGACACATATTTTAGATATCGCATTATTAAATATAATTGAATAAAATGGACTATGTATAGGTATGTAGTGTGAGGTTATGTGGTGTATGAGTCGTGATATAGCTTAATATTGTACACAAGTGAAACGGTCGGTTTTCAGACATTGACTGTTTAATAGGACAACTGTAACTGTTATTTTCATAAAAATTGATTTTCATTTGATACCAACTGATCCAATTAGATAAAACAACGTTAACGGCAAAATGGAATTGGTTATTCATAACAATAAGCCTGAAGAAACAAAATATTGTTATTTTGTTATCGTTGATAACGTTAGACAACTTTTATTTGCGTAGGTATTTATTAATAGAAATGATTATGACGCTATCTCTAGTATCATATGTTTAACTTTATTGTTCGGTAGGCCCTAAATAGGTAAGTAGGCACTGTTTGCTACCGTTTGATACCATTATTTAATAAACGATAGACGTGCTATTTCAAAGTCTAATGCTGTTACTATTCGTGGTTTGGAACAATAACGATACATGGTGTGACGCCCGTACTACACGACTAGACATGAAACTATACTAAATAGATACAAGAATACAAACAAATAATAGGATTGACGGCAAGCAGGTACTTGACGATGTATAATCGGTAAATATAACTGCGTTATTTTTCATTGGAACAAACCCACCTCAGCCAGCCAAACTATCTACTGCAACTACTATAAGGCGAGGTATATAGTAGAGATATCAACCATGAAAGCTCCGATATGCTGCAATCAGTCATCTCGCAGTATGAGTCAAAGATTAAATATCTTGCCAGATATAAATTTATTTTAGTTATCTCCCATTTATTTATCTAAAATTATTGACAAATCGTTTTCACAGTAAACGTTCGATATTCGTGAAGCTTCCTGATCCATCTGTTTAGTCTAAATTCCCAATTAATAATCTGATCTTATAAATTAATTTAATTCCACAGGGTATCATCAACCTTCAGCTATTTTTGCTGAATGAAATCTTTGATCGTTATAAATGTTCTATTCGGAGACTTAAAACCAATAGCATAAAACAAACATACCTAGGTTATAAACAGAAGAATGAAAATAGTATTTCTGATTACGAATTGTTGTACCTACGTTTACATTCGTTGGGAAGGGTGTGTTGCCATGCAAACACTGTTTAAAAATCAATCCATGTACTAATGGGGCGGTCTTTAGTTCTTTTGTATTTAACAACCAGACGATGCTATCAGATCCAGATATTACGTATATTATATTGCTATGTTATATTATATACTTAATTGTATTTATAAAATATTCGTTTAACGCTTCTCAAATATCCTATTGTGATTTATAAAATCACAATAGTAATACAACTTGACCATAATTCGAAAACAAAATAAATACATGCGTCTAAGATACTAAATCTTCAAAATGAAGTAAATATGATACAATGAATATTTTCATTGTGTTCTGTATGTTCTTGTTAGGTCCTATGTTTTATTATAACCAATTGTTTTCCATGGAAATGGTTGCGTGTTAATTTTAGGGCAGTGAATATACACTTGAGACTGAACGTGACACATACTTCTTGGAAACTTATAGTTTTCACAACAATTATTGCGAAGTCGCAACAATGAAGAAATATTGTGGCGATAGTAAAATAATTTATGAATAAAATATTTTAGGTACCTCCTTACATTCTTTTTGTCATGAATTTATGCGTACATTTCTGGGAAAGTTTAATTTTGTCTAACTAGTGTTGGAGCTAAGAATGAGTCGTTTGTAGCGTGTGGACACACTTTAATTAGCACTGCGGGGTGTACCTTGGCAAAATGCCATTGCGTTTGGGGGAATTCACCCGTGGTCGAATTTTTGACAGCAGTCTTTTGTAAGAATTGCAATTTCTTGCGACTGATGATTCAGAAGCAGCCTTTGTTTTATTTAACATCAAATCAATCTTACCTCTATAAGCCCTTTAATGTCCTTAAGATATTTCAACTTTTAATACCAGTCTATACAGATTTAAACAAATTACAGAAAGTAGTGATAGGAAATGTATGAAAATATTTTGTAATCTGTGGTTGGCCGTGAACAGTGAATGTTATCGTCCATTCTTCTAATGCCCGATACCTTCTACATATTATTATATCGCTTTAGTAACTCAATTATAGTATTGTTTATGTTTTTCTGTTGTTGGATTTAGGTGCGATTGAGATTATTTGAGATTTTCATTGGTTGGCCATTCATGATGTCATTTTGATAAGGGCGTTGTTACGTATAGTTTGCACGCGATCTATATTTGGTGTTCCGCCGATAAGGTGAAGGTTAATGAGACATTTACTTGTGTTTATGATAAATTAAATAATTATTGTTTTTGGATTAACAAAATGTTGCTTGTAGCAACACAACAAAGGTTGTTTTATTCATATCATTAATCAGGTAGACTTATTATTAGGTTCTTCGTTAATCTCAAAGGTTACTTGTATCTTTCCTTAGTTACGTTTTATTATTATTGGCAAACAGTAGAAAATATTTATCTACCCCTGAGAATAAAAGTACAGAAGTATACCTTATGTTATCACAGTCCATGATTTGTAGTGGAAATTTTAACCACTTAATCCTTGTTGAATCGGCCGTTATCATTGTTATGGTGAAGATAATAAGTACTTACAATCTTAGCTAAGCTAATAGGTCGTATTGTGAAATTTAAGATCATAATATAGTGTGTGTTATAATGCCAGGTGAAGGATTTACTGCTTCATCAATATTTTTATAGTTGCACATAAAATTTTAACTACGTATCGTGTTCGAAAATATTTATTGTTGGTAAACTACGTTCTAATCCTATCTAAAAGTTGTTTTAACGCACTTGCATAATCGTATTGTACATAATACAGTTTCATCGAAATTATAAACTATCGGGTTGGATCGAGTAATTAGTTAATTATTTTATTGTAGGTAATCTGCATCTTGTATTAGAGTAGAATTAGGAAAATGTTCTTGTTACCAAAACAAGATAAAAGTGACCCCGCCTATGCATTTTTGTATTGTTTGTTAATAAGATTGCACTGTAGGTAAATCACTAATCGTTTTATCTTAGTGACGTCATAAATACATATGCAAAAGCAATCGATCAATCAAGGAGCGCAATAATACAATAAGACGGACAAAGTTTTGCAAGTTACACTTTGCAATATGTCACAGAATAGTATATACAGTTGTTATCTTATCTGTTAAGTAATGTGGCCAGTAATCTGTGCTCTAGAGAGGTATTGGGAACCATACGATGTTGGTGTCAGGTGCGCGACGGACGTCGTACCCCGGCGCGGGAGCTCATAGCTCCGATCTAAGCTTTTCGAGTGCGAACTCTTCCCAATTTGAGGAGGTAAGATAAAATGTTTCTAAAGTTACTGCACAGAATCGTGTTTTGGGTTAAGTAATTTTAGGTTTTAGGATTTTAAATATGTTGTATTTTATTTTATTGAAATTTTTACAACATTTGACACTATTGCGTGTTGATTCATAATACAAGTGCATACGTTTGAATTTATTTGGGGTCTGAATGGTTGATGTCCTCGAAAGTAATAGGGATAATAAAACATTTATTGTTTTTGTTTTCATTAAAGTAAATTTGTATAAAATTCAACAAAGCACCTGCAATACGTTTAGGATAACAAGGGATTTATAATTCTATTGTTATCAAGTCAGACGAAATGTCATTTCGAAGCGGGCTTACACAAAGGCATCATAAAGGCAGGGGTTGGCGCGGTGACAGATAGCGTCAGGCTAATTATTGTGACTTGACCTTTATCATTAGAGAAAGCGTTTTATCATTTAAATGGTCTATTCAGGGCGCCAACTAGATTGGAAGGGCCAAAGTCAAATGCTTTGTTGTCACATTTCACACTTCATATACTAGTGCCATACATGACATACCCACATGCATGCATTTGTGCATTGACGATGAAAACTGATACAAAAATGAATTTGATTGCTTCGTAATCTTTGAAATGCAAGTTGATTGAGGTGATAGTGTAATCAAATTACTATTCATTCCAAATCTAAGTGGATTTATCAGATTAAAGCAGTCTGAAACATCGTTATTAGTGCAAAAATTAATGTAGTAGGAGCCATATTTTTACTATCTTTTGAGATATTGGTAAACAAGTTTTTGATAAATCAACCCGACTATACCAGTTCGTCGCAGTTATACAAACAATAATATGTTTTACATAAAACTTGAAAATTGTTTTGATTTGCAAAACAGAAATTCTTGAATGCTTAATTAAAATCAAGACAGGTTTCGACGTCGTCTCGAACTCTGTAAATATAATCTCTATTTAAACTTTATTAATGAAAACAGTTTCTGCGTTATTATTTCTGTCGTCATATAATTGAAGGGGACTATAAATTCGTCTCGGCTCGAGTTCTTTCATTAACTGATACATTAAGTGGTCCTTATGCGCTTCAAATTGCGTCTGACCGGAGTGATATGAGACAACGTTATTGTACTATGATTGTTCAAATGTTCATCGAAGTAATATTACCTACTACTTATGCTTAAGAACCCTGAAGAATGAATGAGTATATGCAGTTGGTACTTACTTACCTAAATATTTTTGGTGTAATATGTACAATGTGTTATTCGTCGATGAGATGTGAGTGAGACTAGTATAGACCAGACTAAACTCTGGAAAATATCATGCCAAGGAAATATTATTTCTATCTGGCTCTGGTATTGGTTTTTCATATATCTACATAATGTACGAATTAGCAAATGAAAGCTTCCTGGTAGTTTGCGTTCCGTAGAGATAAAAATATCGTGTTAAAAGTAGTTCTGGAATCGATGCCATACGTATGTGAGTTCTAATGCGTAGTTGCGTTTAAATCAAACATCTGTTTATTATATTATTAGTCTAATATAGTGACGGATTTAGTCATATTCAGTATAAAATGGGGTGCAAACATAATTCAAGATTTAAAATTGGAATTTTTGAGACTTAAATAAATTTTCACGAAATCTGGTTTTGTTATGTTTACTTTATTCCGTTTTAACACATGCTATCCTCACAGACGGAGTTATTATTATTTTATTGCGTCAGTAACTGGCGCCAGATCGTAAACTTTTGCGAATTTTAGCCTCATATATGTAAGTGGTCAATGGCAGGTTCTGGTATCTGTATTTAGACTTATCTTGCGAGTTAGCTTCCTTAGCGTCTTAGATGTTTACTTACTAAACGCGGATACTCTTACATCACAAGACTCTAACATAAACTGTAAATATCGAGTGGACTAGTTCCATTTATTATAGACATCAATGGAAAATTGCGAATATTATCTGCTTATGTTCAAAGGCAATAATAAAGATCTGTAATTTTTAATCCACACCACATTACATAAATATAAGTATATACTTTAATGATGATGACTTTATTTCTAGGAAATTGGCTTAGGTATATGTTTGTGAGCAATTTATATTCACACAGTAGTTTTGCTCCGTTCTCACGGGTTCATTCCCATATTATCTAGATTGTCTGACGTTTTTGTTAGGTTCGTTAAGCAGTTCAAACTCATTTTTGTTCTTGTAACTAAGGACTTAAACATAGCTTGTTTGGCAATATTTGTGACACATGGAAAATTACTTGTTTTATTTGATGAATCGTCAACTAGTTATCTATTTAAAATACATGAATAACAATAGCTTATTGTAGATCATTCATTATACGTTGTTTGATGAATAATAAACACCTAAGTGCTTGCATTGAAGGTAGGTTAGTTAGGTACTTAAATATATTAAACGTGTCTGTATTTGCGTTACGTTACATCGGTCACCGGAACAAACAGTAGCTTTTCCGTTCTAATCAGTATATTGTAATGTTCCAGGGGTCAAATGGGGTTCGTTTACACGGCACGGTAGTAGTCGGACAGGTACCTCCAGACGGGCTCCCGTAGCGAGACAATGCCGTTCCCCGCGGTTCCGGCTAGGTCGGGTATTCCTCGCGTCGATGTGTGCGACCTCTGTTTACAGATACGGCACACAGCAGCGACTTGCTGCGCAACATTGATTCGTGGTTTGCGCTTCGCCCGCTATCGTCTCAGTCACTAGTGCGCAACGCCAAGAGAAACAAGTGTTCGTGCTTCGCAGCGCTACTTTTATTTTTGCGTTAATTTTTTTTTTGTGCAAGTCTGCGCTTCAACAAAGAGAACCTGTTTTAAATTGCTCGTGTATTCTCTGGTGAACACGAAAGAGCAGAATATAATTTCTAATCTGTGTTATATCGCTTCGGCTCTCTACCTAGTTCGGTTCCTGTGTGTTGAGTAATATTCTGTGTCAGTTGTAGTGGTTGTGTTTGTGATAGAGTCGGACAATTTCATCGCGAACGTGTTCCAAATTGGGATTTCACCACGAGCGGGCTCAAGGAAGTTTATAGTCAAGTGAGTTAATGACGAAATACACGCGACTAAAACTGTGATTAAGTTTGTTGGTTGTATTTTGACTTTCTTTTTCTTATTCGAATCGTTTTTGCTTACAAATGAATATGATAATGATGAAGGAGCCGACATTTGTTTAGAGATCTCTGTTACAAGCGTAAATTCATAGTGCAATCAACAATAATTCACTGGGGGACTGATATTGTTAGTTGTTGAAGTAGAAAAACAAGTAGATGGTCTGTAGTGATCGCGTGATAGCACCGCTCGCTCTGCGTCGCGCCACCACCACGTCCACCAACGTCATTGTCCCACTACACGCTCTAGAGCGCCACTTATCTCGAACGGTGACGGTGTACTCGTAAACGAATCAATTGGTTACATGGTTAAATTTTGGTTTTAAAAAGTAATACGCTTACGTTTGTTAAGTACACGTTCAATAAATTTATTTCTAGGGGAGTAGTCAAAACAAATATCAGCTGTAAGTAACTATGTAATTCAATGTCCATACATTTGATGAGTAAACTGATACTTCATCCCAGTGTGTATGGATTCAAATGTGCTCGTGATTTAGTTGTTTCGGCTCCGAACAATAAATTTGTTGATTACGTTGGTAATATTGCTACGAAATGTTTGTACATATGTGTGAAGCTAATCCATATGTCTACAATATTATTCATTCAATTCTGTCTAACCAAATATTTGCTGTTTTTCTTCTTTCACACTCGTATTAGTATAACGTGTTCTGATAAACGAGTTCTTACGAATTTTCACATAGTTTCTTTATCAAATACAAATATTGTTTTAGAGTTGTTAGTTTAAACACAGTTGTTTTGCAGTCTTCTTAAAATATAGAGATTTTTATGGCACACCTGCCCGATCCTCTGATTTTGTAACTTTGTCGATTCTCTGGAACGAACAAACTGATACATTTAACCCAATTATGTGATGACGTACATGTCTAGATCAATTTAGAAGCGTTGTTTTCTTTTAGGACCAATAAAGTGATGAATTTCTATGTAGGGATATTGTATCATTGTTCGGTTGTTTTGAATTTGGTTCTTAGGTACAAAACAGTAGTTGCTTGGCTACTTTTGTATGTGTCATGGACTTTTTATCATTTTCATTACAATTTTCCTGTTCATATACTACACTACCTGTTTCCATGCGAAGATTATCTGCTAAGTAATATTATACCTCAATAAAATGTCCTTTTGTATGCTTAGGATCTATTGCGTTTACTATTATTAAGCCTTCATTAATTGCACAGCTATGTGTAAGTAGTTGGTCTGCTAAAAATAATGCAAATGATTTCACCATATTATTTAGTGGATGATTCAATTATTTCAGGTATTGAGTCGACATTCATTTGTCTTATTTCTGTACGTTATCTTCCAAAGATTTGACTGTTGTCTTTTATGTCTCCGCCCTCTAACAACAAACTTATACTAAGTATCAAACTTATATCAATACCATTCATCATACTTTTCACAGAAAATCAAATCAATCGATGTATAGTATTGATATAAGTTTTGATGTAAGTTATTAAGTCTATTACAGTTAATGCCATTTGGTTCCTTAGCACCGGATGAACATTTTTTCTTACTTCAGAATCACATTATTATTCAGATGAATTATCGTCTAAAAATGACATTGAACTCTGGTAATGAGCCAGGATCTGTTTGAAAGAAAAAGTTGATTATGTAATTTTGTAATCAACATCAAACATTCTCGGAGTCATAATTGCCATGAGGTTACACAAGGCCAACGTTTACGTAAAATTGTTTGCACATCTCTGTCTGAACTGTCATTGTACGAACTTAGTTACATGTTACGATGACTTCAAACCATTGTTATTCTTTTCTGTTCAATGCAAATGTTATTATAATGATTGTTTTTTATTGCTTACCATCAGGTGATCCGTCTGCTCGTTTTTCCGATATGTCCCATAAAAAT